GGTTCCTGCCCCCTCAGGTGTGTCCCAGGTAGACGCCGTTGACCCAATCGAGGTTACTGGTGACTCTGGTGCTGATGCGGGTGCTGAGCCTGGGGGTGCTGACTCTGGGGGTGCTGTGCGCGGGGGTGCTGAGCCTGGGGGTGCTACTGCTGGGGGTGCTGGGCCTGGGGGTGCTACTGCGGAGGGTGCGGAGCCTGGGGGTGCTGAGCTGGGGGGTGCTGTGCCTGGAGGTGCTGGGTCTGGGGGTGCTGGGTCGGGAGCTGCTGAGCCTGGGGGTGCTGAGCTGGGAGCTGCTGAGCCTGGGGGTGCTGCGTCTGGAGCTGCTGAGCCGGGGGTTTCTCCTGCTGCTGCGTCTCGCCGGGAGCCCCTCTCTCCACAGGATCTGCGCGAGTGGTTCGCTCGCCGCTGGAGGCGTGCTGCTGAGTCTGGAGGTGCTGCTGGAGCTGGAGCTGGAGCTTCTTCGACCGTCGAGGGTGCGGGTGCTGCCGGTCCCGGAGCTGCTGGACCTGCGGGTCCTCCTGGAGCTGGAGCTGCTGAGGGCGTTGGTGCTGAGCCTACTGCTGTTGGTCCTGCCGCTGGAGGTGTGGGTGGCGCTGGTGCTGTCGCTGAGGGTGCTGGTGGTGTCCCTGCTGAGTCTGGAGCTGCCGCGCGACCTCGGCCGTACTTCGTTCCGCTCCTGCAGCAGGTTCTTGTTCTTTCTCCTCCAGTAGAGGGTCCACCGCCTGTCCAGTCGCAGTCCCTGCTGGAGCCTTCCTCTCCACTGCCTGCTCCCTCTCCTTACACTGGTCCTACTGGAGGTCTTGCTGAGCGTCGTGAGCCTGCGCCTCGTCCCGCGTCGCCTGTTCGTGCTGCTCGCGCTAGTGGTCGCAGTTCGCGTCAGCGTCCTCCTCCTGTCCCTGGCACGCACCGGATGTCTTTGCGTCCGTCCACTGCTCCTCTGCGTGCCCCTTTGCCTTCTCCTCCTGAGTCCTCTCTTCCTGCGCTTGCCGACCCTGAGTCGGACTCTCTTCGTGCTGCCAGTCCTACTGTCACGCGTCTGCTTGCTACTGTCGTCACTGACCCCTCTTTTGAGTCCACTGCTGCGTCTGCTCTAGTCGCTGAGCTCGTCGACTTTGCTGCTCGCTGTCGTCTCGACTACACTGCTAGTCTTGTTGCTGAGTCTGCGTCTATCTGTCCTCCGTCCGTCGGGGGTGAGTGTGCTCTTGGCACGGACGTCCTAGAGGACAGGCAGGAGGAGTTCCAGTGTCTAGCGGCTGCTTCACCTCATCTCGCGTCTGTACTGCTTGCCCCTGAGGGAGACCCGGATGCACTAGACATCCCGACTCCGCGTTTTTACGCGGAGGCCGTCGAGGGTCCCTACTCCTCTCAGTGGCAGGCAGCTATGGATGCAGAGATGGCTTCCTGGAAGTCCACAGGCACCTACGTTGACGCGGTTCCCCCTCCTGGGGCGAACATCGTCAGTGGCATGTGGATCTTCAGGGTGAAGCGGCCGCCGGGCTCTCCACCTGTCTTCAAGGCACGGTACGTTGCTCGTGGCTTCAGTCAGCGGCAGGGAGTTGACTACTTTCAGACCTTCTCTCCCACCCCGAAGATGACTACTCTTCGGGTGCTGCTGCACATAGCCGCTCAGCGCGACTACGAGCTTCACTCTCTCGACTTCAGCACTGCGTTCTTGCAGGGTAGCCTGCACGAGGAGATCTGGCTTCGCCGTCCACCTGGCTTCACTGGGACTTTCCCTCCTGGCACCCAGTGGAGCCTCCGACGGCCAGTCTACGGTCTACGCCAGGCACCGCGTGAGTGGCACGACACACTGAGGACTACGCTTGCGGCTCTTGGGTTTGCTCCTTCTACTGCTGACCCGTCGCTGTTTCTTCGCACCAACACTTCCCTGCCGCCGTTCTACATCCTCGTGTACGTCGACGACTTGGTCTTTGCCACAGCGGACACTGCTGGACTCGCCTACGTGAAGTCCGAGCTGCTGAAGAGACACACGTGCACAGACCTGGGTGAACTGCGCAGCTACCTTGGCTTGCAGATCACTCGGGACAGAGCACGCCGCACCATTACCTTGACTCAGTCACACATGGTGCAGCAGGTCCTTCAGCGCTTCGGCTTCACGTACTCCTCGCCTCAGGCCACTCCTCTGCCTACTCGCCACTCACTCTCAGCTCTGCCTTCGGATGAGTCCGTAGAGTCGAGTGGTCCGTATGCAGAGCTTGTTGGCTGCCTCATGTACCTGATGACCTGCACACAACCTGACCTTGCATACCCTCTGAGCATTCTTGCACGCTATGTTGCTCCTGGGAGACACAGACCAGAGCACATGGCTGCAGCGAAGAGGGTATTGCGCTACTTGTGCAGTACGTCGGGCATGGGGCTAGTGCTTGGAGGGCGGAGTCCAGTGGTCCTTACCGGCCACGCGGACGCTTCTTGGGCTGACGACCAGGCTACGCAGCGGTCGTCACAGGGTTACACCTTCAGCCTTGGTTCCGGCTCTGTCTCGTGGCGGTCTACTCGCTCGTTTTCGGTTCTCGGCTCCAGTTGTGAGGCTGAGATCTACGCCGGGGCCATGGCTGCACAGGAGCTTCGCTGGCTCACCTACCTGCTGACTGACCTTGGAGAGCCGCCTCGTTCTCCTCCAGTGCTGTACGTAGACAACAAGGCCATGCTGGCCTTGTGTCGAGAGCAGCGCTTGGAGCACAGAACGAAGCACATTGCTCTCCGCTACTTCCTTGCTCGTGAGCTGCAGCAGCGTGGTCAGTTGCGACTTGCGTACGTGGCCTCTGAGGCCAACACTGCTGATGTGTTCACCAAGGCACTCGCGCCTTGTGACCATCAGCGCTTTTGCACCCAACTGGGTCTTGTGCCTGTCTTGCCTCACTTGCTCTCCTCTTGACTTCACTTGTACTGTGACATATATATATACCTGCTCTTGCTTGTCTAGTTTTATATATATGTCTGTACTCCTGCATGTGAACTGGCCCCTGGCCCTGCTCTTGTGCTCGGACTGTGTGGTGACTTTGTGATCCACCCTGAGCTTGCTTTGCTTTGCTTGACTGGTCTTGTGACCCCTTGTTCTCCCCCACTTTGCCTATGGGGGTGTGTCAAACATTATATATGTTATGCTTGTGTAGGCTACAGTGGGTTAGCCTATAGGGGGTACACAATTCTAGGGTTTCCTACTTGTACTCATTTCACTGCTAGTTCATTCATTCCTGTTCGCTTATTCTCACAAAGGGGGGGGGGGGGGGGGGGTGGGGAGGGTTGCGTGTCGAGTGCACGGGGGGCCGCACGCGGCTCCACGGGGCGGCGCGACAGGCGCACGTGGGGCCGCGCGTTTCCACGGGCCAGCATGCGGGTCCGTTGGGCCCGCTCGCTGCTCCACGGGGCGGCGCGACGGGTGCATGGGGCCTGCGTGCGGCTCCACGGGGTAGCGCGCGGGTCCAGCGGGGCGTCGTGCGGGGCGCACGGAGCAGCTCGCGGGCTGCACTGGGGCGACGCGATGGGTGCAGTAAACCGCCGCGCGCCGCCATGCGCCCTGGGCGCGTGGCGGGAACAGGGCTGACGTTTCATATTAGGCCTCCCTGATTCCGGGGAATTTTTTTCCCCTCTATTATGAGTGCACATTTTTCAGAATAATGCTACTCTGATTGCTCAGGGTTGTGAAGTATATAACTCTGATTGTTCAGGGTCGAAAATCGAGGATCAGAGTAGTAACGCGCCCTTTGTTACAGGGGAAAAAGTTTCCCTCTGCGTAAAGTAAGCGCTCTGTGTTTCGCGCACACTTTGAGCGCGCTAAGTTCCGTCTTTTTAGTGTTACGAAACGGTATTTATGCACACGTTGTAGTGGGGGGAAGAGATGAGCGATTTCGCTCAACCAAACATTTCGATTCGATACCTGAATGTGGCCAACATCGCTGTGCGAAACGCAAAATAGGTTCTGGAAACTTTACGCACACAAACGTACGACAGTGGAACAACTTATTCGCATTTCGTGAAAATAACAAACATCGAGTGTACTCACCTGTCAGACATGCTGCTGTCCATCGCTCACGCGCTGGCTGTACTGCGATCAAACCGAAGGGGGATATCGGAAGGAAATCTCCAAGAGCCTTCCTCTCGATAAGGTCAAAATCAGGGACCACAGATTCGATACCCTATTAAGTCAGGGTCCACTAACAGGCTAGTCTGTTACACTATACTCAAAATCAGGGATAGGAAAACTACTACTCTGATTTGAACAGGGTTGAGAACTCAGTAATTCTGAAATCTCAGTCTCCGCAAAGTGGAAAGTATGAAATCACCCTGAAATCAGGGTAATTACCCTGATATCGTCAGCCCTGGGCGGGAAGAAAAAACGTATGTCTTCCATCATAGATTAGGTAGGATGTAATATAAATATATGTATGCAATTATAAACATTGATTACATGTACTTCTGATAACGATCCTACCGTAATAAGATATAAACATTCGTTATATGGATTATGGATCTCCCACCTCGTTTTTCCATTTGCTCTCTAAGATTTGAACTCTGGCTGTACTTTTTTTTTTCGTGAAGCATGATAGCTCTTTACGAGGCACACTCATCTCGCAACCAGATGCAATGGTGCCGCTTGAACCTTGAAAATGTCTTCCTTGTGACGCTGAGGGTCTCTCAGGAAAACACGGAAGCTCGTCTGCGGAAAGCGCGCTGCGCTCAAGTGCTGGGAGTGTATGCGCGGTCTAACCACTTCCATTGCGTAATGTCTTTAAACAGCTTATTATCTTGTGGATATATGACGTTTCAGTTCTCTCAGTTCCGTAGTCTCACGGTTCACCAGTTGACCATTTTTTTTGCCGCTTCTGTCACTTCTAAGCACACTTTCTTTAACTCTCCAACTTGCTAAACAGAATTTTGTTCCGTTGCCTCCGCCTCGTGTCTCTTTAAAGTTCTTCTCTCCATTCGCCAGTCTGCTCTTAAGATCTGTCAGAGGGTTCGCACCTTCTGGTTGAGCCGCTATGCCTTCTGAGCCGTCGGATTCTAGCCAGCCGTCAGATCCCAGCCGTTCACCTGACCCCACTCATTCTGGAGGGGTGGGTCCTCACCGTTGCAACGATCGACTGGAGGACGTCATTCAGGCATAGCCTCCTCTCACTACCATCTTCTGAAAGACGTCATTCAGACACGACCGCTTTTTTCCCTGCTTTTCTGACCGTTGTTGTTCGCATCATTCCATTATCCAGCAATGACCTCCTGTGATTGAAGCTCCGTCTCCTACATCCTCCATGTCCCACTTCTACGGTGCTTATCCAATTTCACCGGAATCTTCTCTTTGCTGTCCACGATAATGGTCTATTTTGGAAGCTCCAACCAACCTGAAAAATAAGACTTCACTTATTGCTGTTCGCTCCATTCATTGCTGTCCCCTCCATTCATTGCTGTCCCCTCCATTAATTGCTGTCCCCTCCATTCATTGCTGTCCCCTCCATTCATTGCTGTCCCCTCCATTCATCACTGTCCCCTCCATTCGTTACTGTCCTCTCCCCTCATTCCTGTCCTGATCAGGGTTTGTTTGAGGGAAACTGGAGCGCCAACCTCAAGAAGCCTCTTCAGCTGTTCTTTCAGTGCATCCGCTCCAAACCAGGGTATGATGGCATGACTGTGGTGCAGGATACAGAATCCAGCAGCACTTAGCAACGAAGTTCAATCCATATATTACCATAATAATCACGCTAGCAGCTGTTGTGTGCTCGGTTTCGCCTCATTTTGCCATCCTTTGGCTTCCATTGTCTTTATTCACATGACCTGCCCCTATATCTCTAACACCCCTGCTGGAACATTCCCCTCTCCCCGTTGCACATGAGTACAGGTCCGAGCCAACAGAGCCATACACCTTTCTCAAGGAAACTCCTCCCAAGCCACATTCGAACCCAAGCTGCCAGCCATAGCCTGCCTTACGCCCTCTCCTGCTCTCACAGACTCACACCCACTGCTGTATTATCACAAGGCCAACCAGGTATTTCAATTCAGCGGGGTCAATCAGGTCTTTGAGGTCAACGGGGTAAAGGTTAAAGGGGTCAACCAGGTATCTCAGGTCAGCGGGATCAACCAGGTCAACGGGGTCAAGTCAGCCAGGACTTTCAGGTCAAAGGGGTCAACCAGGTTTATCAGTCAAAAGGGGGTCAACAGGTTTAGAAGGTGAGGCAAACCGTGTTGTGCTGGTATCACAGGGTTTGGACTGAACTGCCAGCGTGGTGTGAGCTGTGTGCTGTGTAGCACTGTGCGCATTGGCTGCTCAAATTGCAGTGCGGTGCACTGTGTGCACATGCAGTGGCAGCTGCACCTTTGTCTCAAACATGTCTCTTTCTGCCGAGAGGCCGCAGCTGCTGCTCGGGCGTGTTCCCTGAGAGCAAATGGTACCGTGGCTGCCGGCATTGCTGCTCATTCCTCCTTCGCTGCAGCTGCAGCTGCTTTTCCTCCTTCTCGTGGCACGGCTGTTTCCAGTTCTCGTTGCATGCTGCTGACTCTATTTGCATGTGCCCGGTCCGTAGAAGTCTCAACGCTCTGCTGCTCTTTCAACATGGCTTCAGCCTCTCCACCAGTTAGCCAATCAGCCGCTCTTAGAAACAGATTACGAACATGTTCCCCCACTCCCACCCGCCGCCCTGCCAGCCACACCACACCATCACGTAACTCCTTATCCCGAACCAACTGCTACAGCAGTCACAGCGACAGCCACAGAAACTCCTTGTTTCCTGGATTCATAGGCCTAGGGTTCAGCAGTCCTCCTACTCCACTTCTGGGCAGGCGATTAATCCCTTCACGGCATGCTCTCTCGTGTGTGCGTCTGGAAAGGGGCGGATCAAGTGGAGCAGTGGAAAGGGCACCTGGAGGAAGAGGGACAGTGGGAGTTAGAGGAGAACCAGGGGGTGCAGGAGCCGTTGCTGCTGCTGCTGCTGTGACAATTGCTTCCCGCGCACGATTTCACCCAGTTGCGAGCCCGTCCCTGGGGGGAAGGGCCTTTCCTCTGCTGCTTGCAGGCAGCATGCGGGGGGGACAGGCGGAACTGAGGAGGGGGTGTAGTAGGTACAGACGGAATGGCACTGTTGCTTGGGCAGTGGGTCGAGGCAGATCAGCTAAGAAGGAGGAATTGTCGTGGGGGAGTGTGGAAGAGGTGATTGTAGGGGACGTGGGTGGATCAGAGGAAGCTAAACGGGACGTGAGTTCAGAAGAGACAGGTGAGGGTGTGAGTGTAAAGGACGTGAGTGCAGAGAAGACAGTGAACGGGGTGACTGTTGGGGACGTGATTTTAGAACGGACAGTTGAAGAGGTGACTGTAGAGGTTGTGAGCGACGAGAGTAGCAGCAGTAGCTTAACAGAAGGCGCTCAAGCTTCAGACGTGACTGTTTTGGAGGAGGAGGCACAAGTTATGGTGGCAGGGCGGGTAGCTTCAGAGATTACTGTAGGGGATATGAGCGAAGGGAGTAGCAGCAGTAGCTTAACAGAAGGCAGTCGGGCTTCAGATGTGACTGTTTTGGAGGAGGGGACAGTTATGGTGACAGGGCGGGGAGCTTCAGAGGTTACTGTTTGGAAAGAGGAGGCAAAAGCACTGGTGGCTGTACAAAACGCATCAGAGTTGACTGTTTGGAAGGAGGAGGCAAAAACAGCAATCATACAGCAGGGAGCATTGGAGGAGGCTCAGGCAGCGGTGATAGAGCAGAGAGGACTGGAAGAACACCAAACGGCGGTGATAAAGCAGAGAGCATCAGAGCTGATTGTTTGGGAAGAGGAGGCAGCAGCACCGGTGATCGATCAGAGAACATGGGAGAAACATCTGGCAGCGGTGGAGGAAGCGGTGATTGGTCTGCACGACACCGAAGAGGCCTTCGAGTCGATTCACACAGTGATAAGTTCAGTCAAGCCTTTTGAACCGACGCCAACACCTGAGGCTGAGACAGCTTTGGTGGGTCAGCAGCAGGGCATTCAGGATCTTTCTGAGGTGTCTCAAACATGGAATGGGGGGCAGCAGCCCTGGCAACCGCAGCAGCAGCTGAAGATGAAGTGGCAAGTGCACAGAGAGCAGCAAGAGCAGAAGGTGGGAGCGGAGGCAGCGGTGTTTGGTATGAGTGAGCAGGGAGGGAATAAGGGGGGAGCAGAGTCAGCAGTGTCTGATGTGAGTGAGCAGCAAGAGCAGAAAGGGGGAGCAGAGGCAACTGCGTTTGATATGAGTGAGCTCGTTCAAGCTGTGGCGGTTGAAGCTGCTTCGGATTTCTCAAATGTCCAAGGCTTCAGGAGCAGGTGAGGCTTCAGGAGCAGGTGAGGCTTCAGGAGCAGGTGAGGCTTCAGGAGCAGGTGAGGCTTCAGGAGCAGGTGAGGCTTCAGGAGCAGGTGAGGCTTCAGGAGCAGGTGAGGCTTCAGGAGCAGGTGAGGCTTCAGGAGCAGGTGAGGCTTCAGGAGCAGGTGAGGCTTCAGGAGCAGGTGAGGCTTCAGGAGCAGGTGAGGCTTCAGGAGCAGGTGAGGCTTCGCCTCGCCCGGCTGGAGATGCTCGCTGAGAGATGCAGAGCGTGAGAAGGAGCATCTGGCTTGAAACAATTCTGGATCAAGCTTTTATCACGTTCGAATCAAGCTTGCCTCGAGGTTGAACGAAGCGTGTATCAGGTGTGAGTCAAGCTTGGTGAAGCTCCACACTTTCCCACACCTGGATTACAGCATGTCCTCTGCTCGCTCTCCATCCATCCTGTCCACCCTATGTGCTCCTGTTCTTCTCATCCAATCAGCTTCCACCAGTACCTTGAGTCGCTGCACGAGAGGATGACACGTCGACAGCTGAGTGCCTCTCTGGAAGTGCAGCAGGTGGTGGGATGGGCCGGAGTGAACTACGACATTCTGCCGCGTGACGTGCGCAGGCAGCGCCTGGAACCGGTGAGATGTGTTTGAATCTCCATGTTTGTGTTGTGCCCGACATGAATTCATCACAAACTGCAGCCTCAAGAGTGAAGTGCGACATGTTGCTGCCTGCTGTGGTTTTTGAGGCGCCTAAAAAACCACCTTATTACGACATGACTTAGTCACAAACTGCAGCCTCAAGAGTTAAGTGCGACATGCTGCTGCCTGCTGTGCGCAGGCAACGATTGGAACCGGTGGTGAGATGTGTTTGACTCTGCATGTTATTATGCCATGAACTTATGGGGCAGCGACTCATGACGATGGCATGCTGCTGCTGCCCGTGCACATGCAGCGAGTGGAATGGGTGAATCAAAATGAACAGCATTGGGACTTAGGGCGCGTAACTTTTTCCATTTTCGTCAACTGTCCGGACGGAGCCTCCTAACTGGCCGGATGGAGCTCCGTCCTGACGTTTGGGAAGCAGGTCCGGACGATAGGGCGTCCGGACCACAATTGTGCAACTTTTTCCCCTATCGAAAATGTAGAATCTCGCCACGAAAAATAACACGCATTACAGAAATCGTATAGCACTTGGAGATTTCGCCACCAAAATTTGACGGCATCCTATTGGTTGGAAAATCATTCAATTCGTGGCTGAATCACAGCGCAGATAAAACGGACCGTCCGAAATGCCGTTCGGACGGAGTCAGCAGGTTAGTCCGGACCACTTTTTGGCAGAAAAGTGTCAGATTGTGTCCGGACGGTAGCGACGTCGCAGGGGGTCTTGCGAACGTCTAAACGGAATGTTACGAAACTAGTTACCCTACAGAAGTCCGGACGGGGCCTCCGTCCGGACGATGAAAGGTGAAAAAGTTACGCGGCCTTATTTGAGGCGAATTGAGTCGACTCTGTTAACGAGCTCAATTCTGGCAATAAATTCTTCTTTCTTTCTTTCTTTCTTCTAGGTTAACGAACGGTCACTCACAGCTGGTGCAAATCCGCTGCCCGTTCTTGTCTCACTCCCTTGTGCAATCGCGATGGCAGATCTCCCAGGCTCTCGGGTACTCGGACACGCAACATCTGCTGGAGCACTACAGGGCCGTTGATGACGCCATGAGCGGATTGGAGAGTTTCGGGCACAGCGGAGGGGAGGAGGAGAGCGTGAGCTTTGAGTCGACTCAAACCACGCAGCATCTGGTGGCGCACCACCGGGCTGTTGATGAGGCGATGAGAGGATTGGAGAGTGAGGAGATTTGGGAGCATAGCAGAGAGGAGAGCATGGGTTTTGAGTCGAGTCAAAACACGCAGCATGTGTGGGAGGAGCGCCACAGGGCCTCTGTGGAGGCACTGGGATGGGAGAGTGAGGAGATGGTGGGGCATAGCGGAGGCGAGAGCATGGAGCGTGCGAGGGAGGAGAGGGCAAACGAAGCAACGGGCGAACTCCTTTCCTTGCTGCCTCAAGCACCACTACCATCACCGTCCATGCACACCCCATCCCCATCCCCATCCCCATCCCCATCCCCATCAACCATACCCCAGTGGCAGCACTCTCCCCCCGACTCTCTCCTTTCCCGAGCGTCATCATGTCCTGCCCACACTTCTCCTCCCACGCCAGATTCCAGTGCCAGGATAGAGGCTCGGCAAGCAGCGGCACAAGCCGCACTAGTAGCATCACCAGGAGCATCACCAGCACCATTAATACCAGCAGCATCAGCACCACAAGCACGACCATCACCATCGCCAGCAGCACGACCAGCAAGAGCAGCTGGAGGGACATGGCGCAGGCAAGCAGATGCGGCACGGTATGATGTGCCTGGAGGGGCGGTGTGGGGAGGAGGAGATGTGCAGAGTGACAGAGTGGGAGCGGGCTGGAGTGGCTCTAGGGAATCAGAGTTGGGGAAAGCAGGCGAAGCAGATCCTTTAGTGCAGCAGCGGTTCGGTACTGCTCAGTCAAGTAAAAACACTGCTGCGGAGGAGCCGAACGGGAGTCAAACTGGCGCCAGCTTGACTTTTGAGAGCAGCAGTGGCTCCTCTCAATCCCGAAACTCGCATTCATCAGCGCAGAAGCCGTTTGATTCCACTCAGTCTAATGGGGAGCCACACTGGAGCCAAGCAGGAGCCAAACCGCACTCCCCGCAGCGCTCTCAGTCCACTCCCACCTCCCCTTCCTCTCCGTCTGCTCCTGCTGCCGATCCTGCCCATTCTGTCCGTTCTGTTTATTCTGCTCCGTCTGCTGATTCTCCTCCTGTGCAGTCGGAGTGGCAACGACGTGCCACTGCCATGCGTGCTGCTGCTGCTCTAGCCCGTGCTGCCACACCCGCCACCACCACTCCCCCCACCACTGCCACCAACCCTACCACGCCTGCCACCTCTGCCACTCCTCATCCGTCCTCTCACCCTCCAGTCCTTCCTTCCACACCTCCTCCCTCTGTTTCCCCTGCTTCTCTCCCTTCTTCTGCTCCTCCCGTCTCCGTCTCTAGTCATCCCAGTCCTTCCCATTCCCACGCACGAGCGCCGTCCGCTCCCTCCTGGCCTGCAGACACGCACAGCCCATGGTCCCCCTGGAACCATCAGGGCACTTTTGAGAATTCTCAAAGGTCCCCCTGGAATCATCGGGGCACTAGCACTCAGCAACAAACACCGCGAGTCTTCACTGCGAGGCACGAGGCAATCCAAGCCAGCAGTGTGTTTGAGTCGATTAAAACAGAGCAAGAAACAACGCCGCTTGCTTCCACCACAACTATGAGGCAGGATGCAATTCGAGCCAGCAGTGTAGGGCAGGGAGCAGGCCATGTTATGGCACACCAGGTAGAGTGGTCCTCCCTGAGAGAGGGTCACAGGGTGGGTCACCATTCCGAAGCTGATTCCGCGACGCATCCTGCCGTGGCTGCCCTGCTGACTCGGTGGCGCCAGACCCATTTTGGCTCGGTCTGCTTCGAGGACCGGCCGGAGCTGAAGCTCCCGAGCCTGGTTCGAATTGCTGTTGGGGCGGAGACCCGGGAAGGAGGTTTGGGGGTTGTGGCTGTGGTGCAGGGAGGAGAGGAGGGGAGGATGGGAGAGGAAGGTGGTGGTGTGAGTGGTTTGAGGGGGTTTGGAGGGGCTGATTTGGAGGACAGTGATTGCGTAGAGGGAAGGGAGGATGGGGAGGAGGTGGAGGAAGAGGAAGGAGAAGAGGAGGAAGGGGGGTATGAAGATTTAGATGTGGTGGGCAGCGAGCAGGAGGAGGAAGAAACCCTTGACGCATTTTTACAGGAGGAGGAGGGGTTGGGGTTTAGGATGGTAAAAGAGGAAGAGGAGGAGAGCAGTGATGTTGCAGTGGTAGCTGTGGACGCATGGGAGGCAGACAGCCTGGCGACAGCCACAGGCAGGGCGAAGCGGGGACGGAGGAAGAAGACAATGGAAGCCAGTGGGGGGGCTTGGGATACCCCAGGCACGAGATCCGCCTCACATGTAGAGAATGCAGAAGAAGAGCCGGTCATGCCGCTAGGTAGTCGCACAGCAGATGTCATGGTGGATCGGGATGCATCGGCAGGTGGGGATGCAGCGGCGGATGGGGATGCAGCAGAGCGTGCGGCAGGAGAGATGGCATGGCTGGACACGACTCTAGGGAGTGCAGACGGAGCAGCTGAAGCACCAGCCTCGCACGGCTGGGGAGCAGCAATAGAGGAGCGAGTGAGCTGGCTGGAGACCCCGCTGAGGAGCCTGGCTCGGCGGAGTGGAGGCGTGTTGACGCCGGGGCAGAGGGAGAAGCTGGAGAAGGCGGGCATGTGGACGGTGCGGCACCTGCTGGAGCATTACCCTCACACGTACAAGGATCTCACTCGTAGCAGAGAGGATGTGATGCGGGACGGGCAGGTGGCTGCTGTGGGCGTGGTGGAGAGCGTCATGTGAGTGGTTGGGGTGGGTGGGAGGGTGTGCAGTGAGTGGTTGGTTGGGTGCCAAGTGGGCGGGTGGCGAGTGAGTGGATGAGATTCACATCATATTTTGTTCCACCAGACAGGTGGCTCTTGCTGAGGCAGTTTTTGAGTCGACTCAAAAGTCACTCCGTTGCTGCACCTGTGTTTGTTCCATCAAACGGGTGGCCTGTTCTGTGCCACTTTGAGTGCTGCCATCACAAGCCTATACCAGAACCCAAACAAGGACGCGCAGTGAGAAGCCTGTTTATGCATCCCCGTCTTGAGTCGACTCAAAAAGACCATGTGTGATGTGAAGCATGTCTGCTGTGCGAGTCATGGCAATTGGTCTGAACAAGAACATTTGAGTCGTGTGGATGGAATGGAACCATACCTCCTTATTTCATGCACCCATCCATCGCCATTCGCTGCATCACATGCAACCGTGTACGTACTGCCCCAGTCTGCCTCTCTTGCATCTGTCTGTGTGTGCCCATCTGCACCTCCCCACTCTGCACCTCCCCACTCTGTACCTCTCCACGCCCATCTGCACATCTCCACACCCATCCACACCGCAGTGTAAACGCAGCCAGAGGTGGCTCGTGTGCGGTGGCCGAGCTTCGAATCCGCTGCAACCCACCTGACAGCGCCGCCACCACACGCAACACCAATCACCCCACCAGCACCACAGCCAGCACCACAAGCAGCGGACCCATATTCAGCAACCCCAAATCGACCAGCAGCAGTGGCAGCAGTGGCAACAGCGGTGGTGGGTTTGTGGTGACAGCGAAGCAGTTCCGTCCTGGGAGCTGGGCCCGTAAAGCTCTCTACGCCGCCTACCCCAAGGGCTGCCTCGTCTCTGTCACTGGCCAGGTGGGTGGTGGGTGGGCTTAACTGGCCAGGTGGGTGGTGGGTGGGCTTAACTGGCCAGGTGGGTGGTGGGTGGGCTTAACTGGCCAGGTGGGTGGTGGGTGGGCTTAACTGGCCAGGTGGGTGGTGGGTGGGCTTAACTGGCCAGGTGGGTGGTGGGTGGGCTTAAAACCGGAGTCCCAAACAGCCCCAAAGGGCCTCAACCTTCGCAGTAACTTTGAGAAGGGGTGACGCAGTAGGTACGACTCACTTCGCAAATCGGGGGGACAATTTTCGTCACGCGAAACTACTGTTCTAGCGAGGACGAAAGCAGTGACGATTTCGCCAACAAATTTGAAGCCCGTCCGAAACTGTCTGCGAACCAGTTCTGATGTTGCATTCCAGATCTGGTTATTTTCGTGAAATTTTCTTCCTTTACGACCCCAGACCACCAATTTCGACACCACCCTGGCTCGCGAGCCAGTCACCTTTCTCTCCCCTTTCAACCTTCCTAACTTAGAAACTCTTGGACCTCCGGTTTTATGTGACCAGGTGGGTGGTGGGTGGGCTTAACTGGCCAGGTGTGACCTGGTGCCTGGGGGCATGGGGGCAAGGGGGTAGGGGCAGGTGGGTTCGAACTTCGAGGTGACAGCGAAGCAGTTCCGCGCTGGGAGCTGGGCTCGGAAAGCTCTTCACTCCACCTACCGTAAGGGCTGCCTCGTCTCTGTCACTGGCCAGGTGCGAGCTGGTGCGTTGGGGCACGGGGGTAGTGAAAGTGGATGCACACACCGCAGCAGGGCGGATGTGTCACAAGAGGACAGGTGGGCTGCGGAGGCCTTACTTCCATCAACTCGTGGTGCGCTTGGGCACGGGGGTAGTGAAGGTGGATGCACACACCGCATCAGGGCGGATGGTGGCCCTGACTTTTCAACACTTCCTTCTGTGTCCAACAATTCCTCAGCCGTCCCCTTGCCCTCCTCAGCTAGGACAGTGCAGGGCGATGGGACAATCGAGCTGGACATGAACAGTGAGTGACATTGTGAAGGTGGATGCAGGCGGTATCAGAGGGAAGGGCGCTGTGCCATGGCGTCTCAAAACTTGCTATTGTGTCCGACATTTTTTACCCCCTCCCCTTGCCCCCATCAGGTGAGGACTGTACACGGGGATGGGACGATCGAGCTGGACATGAACAGTGACATTGTGAAGGTGGATGCAGGCGCTAGCAGAGGGGACGGTGGTGCTGTGCCGGTGTATTCAGCCAGGAAGGACATGGACCCGCTCTCCCTGCGCGTCATCCTGGAAAGGTGCGACTCACCTGTTCTTGTGGTCTCTCCATTGCATGTGCTGCTGTGCGTGTGTGCAATGTTCATGCAGTGAGTGTGGAAGGGGGAAGGTCGCAGAGGGGAGGGTGCTGTGCCGGTGTATTCAACCAGGAAGGAAATGGGCTCCCTCTCCCTGCGCTGACCTGGAAAGGTGGGGTTTTCTGATCAAAATAGCGCTGCTGCTGGGTGTGCATGCAGTGGGTATAGGTGGGAGATGATGCTACACTGGTGTGCTCAACCCCCCACTAACTCTCCTCCCCCTTGTCCCCCTCCCACCACAGTCTAATCAAGCTCATCCCTCCACACATGGAATACCATTCTCCCTCCCTACGCGCGTGCTACAACTTCCTCCCACTCCCCCTCCCCCTCCCCCTCGCCCTCGCCAAAATCCCCTCCCCATCTGACCGCGCCCCCGTTCCCTTGTTAGGCGCCGCATCGTATTCGACGAATTCTTCTTCTACCAGCTCCTCCTCTTGCCTTCCCCTCTTTAACCCCACTCCCCCCCCCACTCTTCCCCCTCCCTCCTCTCTTCCCTCCCCAAGAACAGTCTAATCAAGCTCATCCCTCAGGACATGGAATACCATTCCCCCTCCCTCCGCGCACGCTACAACCTCCTCCCACTCCCCCTCGCCCTCGCCACCATCCACTGCCCGTCCGACCGCGCTCTCGTTCCCCTTGCCCGGCGCCGCATCGTCTTCGACGAGTTCTTCTTCTACCAGCTCCGCATCCTGCTGCAGAGCCGGCGAATTAAACTCTGCCACCTGGCATCCGCAGCCGCAGCCGCAGCAGTGGCCTCCGGAGGGGGAGGAGGGGCCATAGAATGGACCCGCAGAGATCTGACGGCCGACCAGTGGTCCCTGCTCACGCAGGAAATTCTTTCCAGCCTGCCCTATACTCTCACCGCCGGGCAGATGCAGGCTGCCCGGGAAATAATATCGGATATGAACTGGCCGGTGCCGATGTCCAGGCTGCTGCAGGGGGATGTGGGGTGTGGGAAAACGGTGGTGGCGCTACTGGCATGTATGGAGGCAGTGGCGCATGGGTATCAGGTGGCTGTGATGGCTCCGACACAGTTTCTTGCTCAGCAGCACGTGGCACGGTTTGAACAGTGGCTCCAAGCGCTGCCGCCTGATCGCCGCCCGAGGGTTTGCCTGCTGACTGCGAGTGTGAAGCGCACCAAGGCCCTGCGCCTGGTGAGTGAGCGTCGTGAGAGACTTCCTAGAAATCTCAGAAGAGAGTCTTCACAAGAGATGCTTGAAATGTCTTTAAGAGTGAGTGAGTCATCAAATTCATTGGCCCGTTAGTGGTCCCCCTGATTCCCCATCAACAGGGCATAAAGGACGGCAGGGTGGGTATCATCACGCATGCCCTCATCGCCTAAACCTCACCTCATGTTGTCACAACCCCTCACTTCCTTTTCCGTATTCGTATTCGTATTCGCTGCACCTAATCTTTCACTACCAGGACATCAAGGAGGGCAGAGTGGCCATCATCATCGGCACGCATGCGCTCATCGCCAGAGCCACGGCCTTCCACCGCCTAAACTGCTTTCTACTCGCCCTTCCATCCCCCCACCCACCACCCCCCACCCCCCCCCCCCCGGGGCTCGCAACACCACGCCAGGACATCAAGGAGGGCAGAGTGGCCATCATCATCGGCACGCATGCGCTCATTGCCAGAGCCACGGCCTTCCACCGCCTGGGGCTGGCCATTGTGGACGAGCAGCACCGCTTCGGGGTGAAGCAGCGGGCGAGACTGCACGAGAAGGTGGGCGGTGTGGTGTGGGCTGAGCCTGTGTGTCTGGGTTGGCTACGCTACTCTAGGACGGCCGTGTGTCCCTCTGTCTGCCTTCCACCGCCTGGGGCTGGCCACTGTGGACGAGCAGCACCACTTCGGGGTGAAGCAGCGGGCGAGACTGCACGAGAAGGTGGGAGAGGGGGGGTTTGAGAGTCAGATAAACAGGTCCTCAAGTCACCGTGGGTACCCTCGGGGGCATGCATCTGGCAGCCTTCCACCGCCTGGGGCTGGCCATTGTGGACGAGCAACACCGCTTTGGAGTGAAGCAGCGGGCCAGGCTGCATGAGAAGGTGGGAGAGCGTGCTGAGGTGACTTGTGTGTGCCTCATCAGATAAGCACATGCAGCAATCATGACTTAGGGATTGAAGGTTGTTTCAGGTGAGTGTGAGGTGACATATGTCTCACGTAGGACCCCTTAAAGTCTTTTGAGGCGCCTCAAAAGCCCTTAAAGTCAATATTTCCCTCTGTTTCTCCTTCCCCACACACTCTCCCGCACTGGTGATCCCTACAGGGCCTTGACGCACTTCGACAGCTGCAGGATGCCGGCGACAGGAGCGACACAGAAGATGCTACTGAATCTGGAACCGACACCTCCTCTTTCACCTCCCCCGCCACCCTCCCTCTTCTCTCTGAGCCTCACACCCTCACCATGACGGCCACCCCCATCCCGCGCTCCCTCGCCCTCGTGCTGCACGGCCAAACCGACATCTCCCGGATTGCTGAGCTGCCGCCCGGGCGCACGCCGGTGGAGACTCTTGTCTTTTATGACCGGGACGGGAAGGGCGGCAGCAGCGGGGAGGAGAGCGATTCAGAGGGTGAAGGGGGGGAGGAGAAAGAGAGGGCTGCGGCTTACAAGGTGAGGGATAGGTGTTTGGGGAAAAGATGGAGATTAGGAAGTTTTTTTTTTTTTTTTTTTTTTTTTTTTTTTTTTTTGTGCGAGCCAGGGAGGAGGGGGGATCGGTATGAGGCCCGGCTTTGGTCGTTCACTCGATTAAAAGGGTTGAGGCTTAATTTTCGTCTTTTATTTTCGTTTGACGTAAAGCAACTTGTGAGGCGCCTTAGTGGTTGTTTAGCTACTATCTTTTGAACTCGCCACAGCTGTGTTTCAATCCTCCAAGGCCCCTTTGCCCATTTCCCTCTTCCCTGTACCCCCTATCCCTTTCTCCCCCTTCCCCCCTTCTCTCCAGCTCTATTTAAACCAGGTCTGGTCAGCCAGCCAAGTCTCAAAACGATTTGAAACGCCCCATTGCCCCCTTTGAACCGTTACTCCTCCTATCCCCCTTTTGCCCCGCAACCTGACCTCTAAACTCACTGCAGATACTCCGAGAAGAGGTGCAGTCGAGCGGGCAAGCATTCATCGTCTTCCCCATCATCGATGCCTCAGAGGAGCTCTCGGGAATCCTCTGGCCCCCTGCTCCTCCTTTGCATCCCTATCTCCTCTTTTGCTCCTCCTGATCTCATTGCAGATTCTTCGCGAGGAGGTGCAGTCGGGCGGGCGAGCATTCATCGTCTTCCCCATCATCGACGCCTCAGAGGAGCTCCCGGAAGTGCGGGCAGCCACGGAAGAATTTCAGCTGCTGACCGAACCAGGCGGGCTGCTGGGCCGTGCATTGAGCGGTGGAGGTAGTGCTGCTGCTGCCCGAGCGGAGCGTGCAGCTGCCCAAAAAGATCGGCCTCGTCGTCGCAGTGATTATAGCCGATATGAGCTTTGTGCTATTGATAACTCCACTGATGGTGCCTATAACGGGTACGATACAGACCAGTATAACTGTGAGCTGGATGCGATGTATGGTAGCCAGTCAGATGATGAAGACTACAGCTGTGATGAGGATGAGGAAGAAGATGAGGAGGAGGAGGAGGAGGATGAGAAGGATGGTGATGGTTCTGGGTCAGAGGGGACGGAAGTGCTGCGCTGTGGGCTCGTGCATGGGCGTATGGAACCGGAGGAGAAGGAGGGCGTCATGCGCAGCTTCCAAGAAGGATCCATACAGGTGCGCTTGTTTTGGTGCTGTTCGTTTGCTGCACACGTCAGTGATTGGTTAAGTCGACCTTCAAGAGGCGACAGTGCTGCTGGTGGAACATGCGGACTGATACGGGCTGACATGGGACATGGATATGGAAATGCATGCACACTCACTCGACACATCCAACCCTTGCCTTTCCATCCATGCTTGCAGGTGCTCGTGTGCACGACAGTGATCGAAGTGGGGATAGACATTCCCGAGGCGACGGTGATGCTGGTGGAGCATGCGGAGCGCTACGGGCTGGCCCAGCTGCACCAGCTGAGGGGGCGCGTGGGGAGAGGCCAGCGCCCCTCGCGCTGCCTGCTGGTGGGCAGCAGTAAGGGCGCGCGGCACAAGCTGAAGCTTCTAGAGACATCACACGTGTGTAGAGGGGACGGGGGGTGGGTGAGAGGGGGAGAGGCAGGGAGAGTGTGCGTGTGCCTGCGTCTGCGCGTGCATGTGGGCAGAGGCCAGCGCCCTTCGCGCTGCCTGGTGGTGGGCAGCAGCAAGGGCGTGCGGCACAAGCTAAAGCTGCTGGAAACGTCAAACGTGTGTACAGGGAAAGGGTGGGTTGGGCAGAGCAGGGTGTAGGTGTGCGCGTGCCTGTTCCAGGGTGTGTGTGTGGGGAGAGGGCAGCGCCCCTCTCGCTGCCAGCTGGTGAGGAGCAGTAAGAACGCGCGGCACCAGCTGAAACTGCTGGAAACGTCACAGGTGGGTGTGGGGGGGCAGGATGTGTGTGCATGTACCCCTGTGCTGTGCCTGCTGACTTTTGAGTCGACTCAAAAGTCAGCTTGGGTGTGGGGGGGCAGGATGTGCGTGTACACTTGTGTCTGTGCCTGTGTCTGCACACGTGTGTGGGGAGATGGCAGCAGCACCCCTTATGCTGCTTGCTGCTCGTCTGTCCTTCCTGTCCCTCACCTTTTCTTGGGATGGCATGGAGCTGGCTCACATGGATCTCAAGATGCGACTAATGAGGAACCTCAAAAGTTGGCCTCGAGTTGGCCCAGCTGGAGCCTGGGCCTCAAGATTCGCGTTGTGAGGCATCTCAAAAACGTCTCAAGGTTTTGAGACGTCTCAATTTTCGAGACGACTTGAACCCGGCTTGGAGTTGGCCCAGCTGGAGCCTGGACCTCAAGATGTGCGCGCCGGGGGAGCTGCTGAGAGGAAGTTCAGGTGCCTCAATGCGCCAAATTCACCGTTCTCTGCGCCTCTTTCCCAACCCTGCGCCCATCATTACGGCATGGAGTTGGCCCAGCTGAATCTCAAGTTGCTACGGGCGGGGGAGCTGCTGGGAAGCAAGCAGGGTGCCCCCTTTTGCAGGCAATGCGTCTATTTCAGGCGCCTTGTACCAGCACCTGCCCGTCCTCCCTATCTATCCGCCCCTCCCCACCCTTTTGCTCCCATCAGGATGGCATGGAGCTGGCTCACATGGACCTCAAGATGCGCAGGCCAGGGGAGCTGCTGGGATGGGGAGCAAGCAGTGTGCCCTCGATTGCAAGGCAGCGTATCTAACTCCTTACGTTCCCTCACATGGGCCTCCATTGTCCTCATCCCATCAGGACGGCATGGAGCTGGCTCAGATGGACCTCAAGATGAGAGGGCCGGGGGAGCTGCTGGGGAGCAAGCAGTCGGGGCGGCTTCCGGGGTTCAACCTGGCTCGGCTGGACCGTGATGTGGACATTCTGAATGAAGCCATGCACGCTGCTGAGGTGCGTGGGGGTTGTTAAGGAAAAGGCTGGACCGTTGGGGTGTTGGGATTCAACCTGGCTCGGCTGGACCGTGATGTGGACATTCTGAACGAGGCGATGCAGGCCGCTGAGGTGCGTGGAGTTTGAGGATGAGGGATCTTCTTGAAGTGCTGCTTCATGATTCGCTGCACGTGATTGTGTGACTGGGTGATCTGCCCTTGCCTCTTATTGTCACGTATTGCTCCAACTCCCTGTCGGAGCAACATCAAATCTTTGGTGGGCCATGGTGAACCCCGCTTCTCATGGGAGACTGGTATCTGTCTTTCCTGTGGTTGTGTTCCGATGGTAACCGTGTGCTGCCGAATGGCCTGCACAGGAGGTGGCCGAAGCAAGTAAACCGCCTGGGAAGATGGACCCTGCTTTGGATCAGGAGCTTCGGATTCGCAACCATTCCTCTGCTTCCACGCAGTGAAAGCTTAAGGTTAGCGAAGAGCACTACACATGACGGTCTTCTGTTCCTGAATATCTCTTTCTAATGCACATGCCCTGGTGTGCCCCGGCTGAAGGGAAGGCAGGGGCTGGACTTTTGGTTGATCAGGGGATGCTCAGTATGACAGGCGAGGGGCGGGTATCCCCCTGTGGGATGCTACAAAAGGAGCCGGAGGAAGTGGTGCCAGGAGACGGCTTTTAAAACGTCTCAAAATACTACTTTTGTTTCTGAGACGTCTCAAAAATAATGACAGCCAAGGGAGGGGCACCCGAATGGAAGTGGAGCCGGTGGAAGTGGTGATGCCTCCAGGAAGTGCTAAGGAGACCAGGTTACCGGTGCAGCCTGGCTAGAGGGATGGCTGGCAGAGGAGAGGACGCAGGAACCCAGGATAAGGGTGCAGCCAAAAATAATTACAGCCGAGGGAGCAGCACCCAAATGGATGAGCTTTACGGAGGAGACTGAGGAAGTGGTGCTGCTGCCAGGAAGCGGGTGCAGGAGACCAGGATGCGGGTGCAGCCTGGTTAGAGGGAGGGCGGCAGATGATGCAGGGCCATGAGCAGGGAGGAGTGCAAGGGAGGAGAGGAACGAGACTAACAAATGAGAGAATCACGACAGTGAGCCCACGACAGTAAAGGAACAAACTTTGGTGCTGAGGAGTTCTGGTGTGTCTTCAAAGGGGTTATGGTTATGGACCTCCCCTTGTGTGTTCGGACTGTTACGAACAGTCGACCACGTAACATTCGACCATGTCAACAACTCCCATAGACGCATGATGACCCCATCAATACCCACCCGGATACTTTCGAGGATTTGAGACGTCCAATTATTGGGGGTGCGGTGGCCAAACTTGTTATTAGCATGCATTTAAGCCATTCTTCTGCATTCATGCACCTTCTATACATAGGTATGGTAGGTGCCCACTGTCCAGCTACAAGATCATCAAGCCCTAATTAGACCACGGGCTCCAAACCACAGGTTCTATCTCCCAACGAAAAGGGCACGTTATAGCATTAAATTTTTGGATTAGGATACGTTTGATTGAAACTGCCATCCAAGCCCAACATACTGGGTAGCGCCCCTAGCTGCGATGAAAGTAAACATTGCAGTAAATGTCTGTTTCAATATTTTGTCCCGCTAAAATTCTGTAGGCGTTATATGATGAGTGTTTAGATCGAGCATCGTTTGTAGTAATGTGGGCAGTCTATCAGTATGGTTGTCAGGTGTGTTCGGGGGGGAAATAGCAAGTGGCTGGTGTACACTTAATGTCCAGCCTTGTTTCCATAAAAGGTAACCACATTGTTGCAGCCCATCACAGGGAACGGTACCCAGTTTACAGGCTCGTGGTCAACGACCTTCACCAGTTTGCGACCTCTGAAGACTTGTAACATGTACAATAACACTCCGTTGATTTATAATGTCACCAACATTCCACACCTGCTTACCCACTGTCGCATCTTTCCGTGGCGAAGGTGTCGAAGGCAGGCAAACGTCTGGGCCAGTTTCAGTCGTTTGTCAGTTATGGGCGGTTAGCCCCGTAGGGAAAATCAAGTGTGCTTTACTTTTGAACCTTTGCGCCGTAAAGGTTCAAAAGCTGGACCATGTGGTTTGGCAATGAACACATGTGGTAGTGGTGGGAGGGATGTGCGTTGGTGGGACCATTTTGTCTTACATGCATTGTCGTGGTCGAATATTGCTCGCTGTCCTTTTTATGGCCTAGTGTTGTGACATGTCCAACCCAAACTGTGTATCCATGGCCCACTGCAACGTTTATGCTGTACTGTTTGCAGCCTCCCCTGGTACAGTGAATGACAAGGGGAGACGGAAGTCACACGACAAGAACAACAAATGCCCGGATCATTCGGAATGCGAGAGTTAACAAAAGGATTTTTACAATGCTTGATTTTTCGTTCAGACGCAGGGGTATCCAGCCTCCCCCACATGGTGGGAAGTCGCGTCCGAGTGTCCTGAAAAAACTTCCGGTTGACCCGCACTCATTGAAAAGCTTCCGACCCGAGCCGAGTCTGCTTGGTTCTCCCAAAACATGCTGACCCGGCCATCCTTGCTGACACCCCTTTTTGGTGCAGTGTCTGCCCATTTATAACTTGTCCACTTGAGTGGGCGGGAAGGCTGGTGGCGGTGGTGACGATCAGGTGTTGCACTGTGGAAAAATGGGCACGTGCACAGAGGTTTGCGCTGCGTGCAGGCCTGTCAATTGACGGGCATATGCCCTTAATGCCCCGACATTCCAGGCTACTTTAGCTCCAGCTCGACTGCATAAAGTGTTAGGACCGCCCCGCACCCGTGCCACTAAGTGCTTCGTTCGACCCTTCCCCGGATGCGTTAAGTGCTCCAACCAAGCCTTCCCTACCCACAAAGTTTTGATTTCCGGCTCTAGGACCCCCCTCCAAAGAAATTCTGCCAGACCCCACCCCCCAATCCCCCCTCCCCCTCCTTTCTACTTAGGTTGCACGACAGCGCCAAGGGGATTTTCCCTTAGCGATTTCTGGTCAATCCCGTGTTTGTGATATCTCTAAGTCAGCTTTGGAGCAGCCGAACTTTCCCAGCTAAGATCGTGTAGTGCAAAAACGGATACACCCTGTTTCGCGCTAGCAGAGCATCTGGTTGCAGAACATGCACTGGTTGTAGAACGTCACCACGTTTGAAATGGTCTTATCACCGACGGTACAAGCACATTCACAAGAAAGCGGTTAGCTAGGATGCTGCATGGTAAAGAACATTAAACAAGCGTTTCAAAGCGGTTGAAAAGGGTATACAGCGATAAAGAAAAAATTTGCCCCCAGTACCACTCCGTCAGCTGGTGCGGCTTTGCCCGCAGGTTTCAGCCATACGGTTTATGGCACCTGACCGCACTGTAGCAGCGAATCGCGCAAGGTGAGAGGGTCGAGAAACAGGGTGTATCAAGTTTTTACTTCGCCTGCGCCCGTGACCGGGCGTGAAAACACTCAGCTACGGTCAATACAGGGTCAGACAGGGAGGAGCTGGGGACTCCAAGTATGGGCCCCAGGAACTTCGACAGGCCTGGCTGCGTGAGCCTGAATTGGCTCGGCAGCAGGAATCTCCAAAGATGCGCTGCTCCTTGGTTTTGGCAGTGTCACTAGAGCTGCTAGCTAGCCACTTCAGCAGCAGGTTTAGTGTGAGTGATGTGAACAGAGGAACACGGGTTCTAAAAACGCGTTGTACGTTACGTTGATTCTGTTTCTCACTGTTTATACTTTTGGCTGTTATCAGTAGGGTGGCACAGAGCAGAAACAAATACGTGTAGCAATCCACATGAGATTTTTTATACTGCCCAAGCACTTTGCACATATTATTCCGAAGGAAATTGTTTACCCAAATTTTGCTATTGCACATGCATTTCCAGTCGTAGTGGAACAGATGTTCCACCTGTGATGCCGACGGTGACACCTGCGCAGTGAACATGCTGGCTCATCATCGCAGCTGAGGTACTCTTTGTCGCATGTGAGGTTGTGAGAAAGCACAGAAAACATCCCATTAGGAAGCGTAGCCCCCCTGCACTGTGTCACTTGTTATTTCGAGATCAACGGAACGGGGTGGATGCATTCAGTGGAGTTTTGTGAACTCGTATATTCCTACTCTTGAAATATGGTGAACACGTACAGCTGTATGGCTGTAAACACCAGTGTGAACTCGTTCTGTCACCAGACTTGTTTTTTAAGGCAGCCCCTTTATAATCTGCAATCAACCGGCGGGATATATTAGATGACAAATCGGGCTGTCCTTCAGCTCAGGCAATTTTGATGATCGGCTTCGTCGTCGTCTTACAGTACAAGGGAAGAAAGCAGAACACTTGAGGTCGCACGCCAGCGTGCTGCCAATTCATACCACTGTCACCCCCGCCAGCGCAATGTGCGCGTGGCACATCCCGCGCCTGCTGGACTGACACAGGCGCCGGAGGAGGGAGGGAGAGAGACACTACTGGCAAAACTACAAGCCCCCGCCCATCCACCTCCTTCGACAAACTCCCATGAGCTTACGCTACACTCCTTCAGGAAAATCTACACATCCAGACCAAACCTGGTTCTTTCCCACTAGGGCCAACTTCCCCCGCACCCCGTTGCTGCTTCCTCCTATGTTTCGCTGTCGTGCCAGGGCGTCGGCAGTCAAGTTGGGTAAACTACCCCTGCTGTCAGCAAGTGGTGTCAATCAATCACTGTAGGCTATGCTCAACCCAACAGCCCCCATCAACCCCCCTTGACCTTCCCCATCCCACCTTGTTTCCCGTCCGCATCCCCGCGCACCTCCCCCCACACCCCCTCTTCCGAACTCACCTTACAGTACAGTACTCTCTTTTTCATCCCAGTGGCCGTGGCTGGCTGGCAAACAGCAACTCACAAAAGCGGATGGGTAGCGCGCTTGCCCACCATGATAACGCTTCACTCACCTCAAATTTGTCACTCAACAAGCTTCATTTCTTGCAAGAACCATCCACCGCTCCCTCTTGATCCCTGTGTTTGTGGCTGAAAGGTGCGATTATCTTCAGTTTCATCGCCTCATGTACGTTCTTGTGTGATTTCTCTCCGATATGGCCGACACTCTTCTGGAGCTCGCGTGCCCTGGCTCGGCAGCCGAGCCGCCTGGTTCAGCGCCGCGGATTGAACCCCCGCCGCGAGAGAATTTCGAGCTTTTTAACAATAAAATAGCAAGGCGAAACGAGTCGGGTCCATTAACAGTCTCGCCTTCCCCCGTCGCGTTCCGCGCTGCTGCGCCTCATAACATCGCTGATCACGCGGTGGCCGCCGCCGTGGTTGCTGCAGCGGCACCTGCGGCGACGGATCATGCAGGGAAATCGTCTCCGATTTTCTCGCCACCTGCGTCCCTCGCGGCGTTCAAAGCGTCGCTCGAAGCGCGCACGAAACTCCATGCTAACAACGGCTTGTTGTCGAAACTCCCGCCGAACCTCTCCCCGAGCCTGCTTGCCGAGCTTGCCGGTGTTGCAAGCGCCACGGGTCAAACAGCAACCGCTCCAAACACCACTGCCGCAACAACTGCCGCCTTAAACGGCGGATTTCAAGTCCCCGCAACTGGCGGCGGGGGTGGCGGTGGAATGAGAATGGACGAGGCAATTCTGGCGCTGCAGCCGCTTGTTCGATTTGGGATGCAGCAGCAGCAACAGGCGCAGCAGCAGCAACCGCCACCTGCACAGACGCAAGCGGCGGCGC